GTTTGATTTTTAAGTAGAAATAAAAATATATTATATTATATACCTTTGTGCGATTCAAAAGTGAATGGTATTACACTACATTACAAAACGTAATCTAATTAGTTTTTGTTTTTAATTATGTTTACCATTAAGCATATGGTCTATGAACATGTTTAATTGTAACTTATTTTTACAATTACATATCCATGACCCATTGTGTTATAAAAGGAACATATTTTCTAGTAGGTACTTATTGATGAATATTATAGATACAACTAAATAACAGAAAGTGACATTAAAGCATTCTTAATTAAATAGGATTTTTCTATAGGTATAAAAATATATCACCGTCTGTTGTTTACCTACTTATTTTGGGATTAACTTTCGTAAAATAAATTCTGCTTGTAATTTTAACAAAATTTTGTATACGAGTATTTTTTCATTTAGATGTAGATTTCACGAACTTATTGAACAAAGAAAAACATCATAAATATTTTAGATTTATCTTGTATAATATATGGTAAAACATTTTTAACAAATTATTCGACTCGATAGTAAAATTATCACCTTATATAAAAAAAATAAAAACAGGTCATGACTAAATTTAATCAGTTTTGAATAACGGATACAATTAAATATAAGAGATTTTTATTTGATATCATAGATATCTATTAGAATTTATAACCAATGATAATATTGAGATATTTACTATTTTTCGATTATAGGTGAGCTACAATGGCACGTAAAGTAAAAATAACAATATTTTATCAAATCAATTTAAAATCACGTTCAAATCCTTATAGAACACAATATTATAATAAATAATAATACCGTTAGTTTGATTGTGATATGTAAACAATAATGGCTAACAGGTTTTTGATGTACTATTGACTACTATAGTGTATTTTATACTATACCATTCATAATTGTATATTATAATATGTAATCTATCGTTTTGTTAACGTAACAATTTTATATAAATTTGTTATTGCAATTTTTCATTTTATAATTAATCATAGGTAAATCACTAATCACTATCTAATTTATGTATTTTTAAGCTGATCCTACTGCCGTGGCCGCATTGGTCCATTAATTTTAATTTATTTACACACAATTAAGTTTAATACACCGATAGTAAAACGTGTAATTTTATGTTACAATAGTAGTTTAACACAATTTTTAACACCTTATCATTTTTATTTTTGTCTGTATTAAGTGTACCCATTTAGGTATATAATTTTAACAATTTACTTTCCAACATATTGAAAATCTATTCCATGGTTATACATAAAGATATGAAAATGGTTTATATTTGTTACCTTATTCGGAAAATAAATAATAATTGAAACCGCTGATGCAAGAAAAGTATTTCATTTTACATACAAAATAAATAAAAACTATTATGTTTAAATAAAATTTAATTATACATATAAATATTTTTCCAAAAAGCATTATTGCCTAGTTAAATATTATAAAAACTGTTTATTAAAATAAGATAAATATCACATAGTATTTTTTTATAACACTTGCATATAATACGGTATGTTACATATAGCTACTTAGAATATTTATTGCCCGATATTTAGATTAAGAGTAGGAGCCAGATAGATTTTATTTGTTGCAATAATCAATAATCATATATATATATATTTATGCAAATGTATGTCATTTACGACTATTGTCAAGGTGTTTCATAAAAAAAATGTAAACTCTCTTACCCCCCGACCGCACACCAGCTATTAACTATAGCTTATAGCTATAGTTATTAAGGTCATGATTACATAGGTCAGTTGCGTAACTATAAGAAAAAAAGGCATCTATGCTAGCAGTAGGTACCGAAAGTGAATATGCGTGAGCTTGTTCATTGGTGCTGAAATTAAAAATCTGAGTTTGGCACGTTACGAATACTCATTATTAGTCATTATAGTAAGGAATAATCATATAAAACATATAAGTATTATTACAACAGAACTATCTACTTATAAAGTACGAGTTTCATATATTTTATTGTAATTTTTTTAAAATTTAAACAACAGTAGGTACCTAAATTATACTATTATATTAATTTTTTGTTCTTTTAGGTTTATAATGACATGTGTTACCTGTATTACATATATTTAGATATTAATGAGGTGTGTCATGTCACAGAACTCGTTTCAAACCACTGGTCCTCATTATACAAACGAATAGGGATACTTTAATGTAAAAAACAAGTACGAAGTAAATTGAATATACTTTCCATAATATATTTTATATTTAAGTAAACTACGTAGGTAGAGGTACTCATAAAATATTTTAATAATATATCTACATAATAAAACATATACTTGATAATATTATAATTTGTCCTTTGTTCACTGCTATTTATCTATCGCATGAAATTGGTTGTTATGGGTACCTAACTACCAATTATTTTACCAATTGTTGATTTTATGAAACAAATAATAAATTATTTTTGGACATAGGTATTGTGGTATTATTGTTGTTAATATGTTGATGAATGATGATATACATACTGTTTTATTGACGTTAAAAAAATGTTATCTTCTATATGAACTATTAAATTTTGTATACATCTACGAGTATGCATTATACGAGGAAGAATAATACAATTTAGTCAGTATTTAATATTTTATCAAGCGTTCTCGCATTGCATGATGTTTTAATCCGTTTACTGTTTATTAATTATTATCAATGTCATTGAGTATAAATTAAATAGCTGTGCAGCTTATACTCGATGGTTATATATTATCTATTTGTTCAGAGAATAATGTAATAAACGCATAGTTGCATTGTAGTTTGAAATTTAGAAACAAACTATATGCCACGTATAAAAAAATCTATTACAAAAAATTGGTGTGAAGAAATATAATATTTTTGTCAGTTTTTAGTTGCATATTTGTACACATCATGCCCATGGTTTATGTGAAACCTTCACTTCAACGCTTTTTTACAATGCGCCTGAATTTTCCAGCACTAACACTTATCATTTATTGGATTATACTTGTTTTTATTATTATTACTACGATTGATAAATACCATATTATGTTATCGCCGTTTTACACTTTACAATAACATAACGTAGTTATTTTCCATAGTAGGTAATCAAATAAATATGTATACAATTCATCTAAAATAATAAAGTATATTTTAATTTTAATTATATACCAAGTTTTCACATACTTCAAAACCATCACCTTTATAATATTACATTAAATAAAGTACTATAAAAAAAATTGAATAATCAACTATAATTAACGCATTATAAATATTTACTTTGATATTAGATGAAAAGCGTGTGCATTGTGCCGTGTTATGATTTTTCATATCTAGGGCATGATTTATATGCCAACCAGGCGTATGAGCTAAATAGTCGCCACCTAAATAAATTATGATTTTGGCACTGTATATTTACATTTGTTTATGAATTTTAATAATAATTACTGCTATATTATTTATTCGTATAA